ACTTTTTGTTTATGGATTCACGTGAAAACAATATGACTCAAAGATCACATTTTAATAATGAAATAGCACATTCGTACGTATGTATACATTGTGATTGTACGTACGAATGTTGTTGTCATAACACTAAAAATAGCACAAGTATTAAGTAAATGTACAGTTATAAAAACATAATTATGTTTGTTGTTGTTGTGATTAGAAATCAGCCTATCACAGTATCACTTGATGCAGTACTACTTTTACATATTACTCTTTAGCTTATCACTCATATTTTATGACATTATTGATACTATAGTATATTTCTTAACGATTGCATGTATATATGATAAATTTTGAACATACTCGGTGAAAACCGAAAAGCTTATAAGTAGACTAGACACAAAGCATCGACCAAACAAACATCAAGTAAGCTGCAACCTCCTCACATGCTTCACAGCAGTAAACTAAAATGATTTTAATAAACGACACGTTTTATATATAGATTTAGTTGTAAGTTGTAACGGTAAAACTAGGGACCATTTAAGAGGGCAGGATACAATGAATTTTTGATTTTATACACCTCACATCATATTTTTGGAGTGTACTAGAAAACACGCTTTTTTTTACTATATACGTCACACCATATTTATAAAGTAATCAATAAAAAATTATATATCAACGGTCACCAATTTGGTTGAAAAACACTAAATTTGAAGTATGTATACTGGCTGACAAATATTAATTTATAGTTCTTTATTTTAAACTTTATCTTTATTTTAAATTTGCATATACTAAAATATGTCACCTGGAAAAAAAAATTAGAAACTTTACTTATATATATAATCACAAAATCAAATCATGTGTTAATTATTATTCCATCTGTTTTTTAAAAGTTGATGTTTTAAATTTTATTTTTGTTTATTTAAATTAAGTTTTATACTTTAATTGATGTATTTAGTTTTACAAGATGAATTAAAAATAAACTATTAGTTTTATTTGTATTGAAAACAAAAAAGTAATTAAAAGTACAAATATAAATGACTAATAAAATAAGTTATTATTATTATTTTAATATATGTGAAAAATGTTAAGCATCAATTTTAAAAATACGGATGGAGTAAATCATTATTGTTTCTTAATGCTATCTCTAAACTCTAATCATCTCCAAAAGACACCGTTTGTCTTTGAAACTGTTAAATTCAATCATAAACAAAAAAAAAAATCTTTCTAAAAGCAATCATATAATTTTTAAATATATTAAAATTCTGTAGTTAAAATTAAAATTTAAAATAATTGCCACGTGAAATAGGAGAATTATTTTTTTATTTTTTCATTTATTTGTCAACAGAAGAATTGTTTTTCTATATGTAATGTAAACACACAACCTAAAGAGAAAGCTCACTCACACAAACCACCTCGAGTCGTCTCTACCATACAAAAAAAAAAAGCGCAGAAAAAAATAAAAACCAAAATCTCAGTGATTCGTTCTTCAGTTGCCACGCCGGCGGGAATATTATGGCGGGACAATCGCGAAAATGGATGATTCTGGTGGCGACGATATGGATTCAGGCTTTCACCGGGACGAATTTCGATTTCTCGGCTTACTCTTCAGATTTGAAATCGGTTTTGGGGATTTCACAGGTGCAGCTTAACTACCTCGCCGTCGCTTCCGATCTCGGAAAAGTCTTCGGGTGGTCTTCGGGACTCGCGCTCATGTACTTCCCGCTTTGGACGGTGCTTTTCGCGGCGGCGTTTATGGGATTCGTCGGTTATGGAGTTCAGTGGCTCGTCATCATTAACTTCATCTCTTTGCCTTATATAATGGTAACTTTACTCACCTTTCTACTCTTATCTTAGAACCTGTTTTTGACTAACTTTTTTTATAATGTTTTTACCATGGAATAATCCAAATTCTATAATCCAAGAAGTTTAGAAATTGAAATATAATCCAAGAACTCATTGGTTACTAAAAAAACATAATCCAAAAACTCATTGAAATATAATCCAAGTGCAAGTTATCTTCATTGTTGAGAAACTGAAATATATAATCCAAGAACTCAAGGTTTCTCAAATTAGGATTTTTTTTTTAATATTGAGTTGATAATGATTTAAGGTTATATATATGTTCAACTTCAAAAATAGTTTTGATTCTTAATAAATAAAAACTGAAGAAATTAGTTTAGTATGATAATGAACATATATATCTGTTGAATTGTTCTTGCGATTGTATGAGAATCAGGATTTGACTCAGTTCTCATATGTAATTAATCAATTATATCGTTAGTTAAACAGGCAAGTGTGTTTAGTTGAATTGTTCTTGATATCAACATTTTTTATATATAAACTATAATTTTGTGAAGATTCAAGTGTAGTTATTTATTCTGTAAAGCTATATTGTTCTTAATAAAGTTTGTCAAATTGCTGTAAGATAAATTTCAAATTCAAATATAGTTTTCTTCTATTTAAATTCCAAAGTACGTTTTTGGAAAATTTAGTGAGTTTTCTGTTTCCGCAAAATGAATATTTATGTTAATTGTTATATACAGGATATATATAATTTTGTCACAAGACTCACAACTCACAAATGAGACGAAAACAAGATTTTGAATCACAGATTGGGTGACGATTGTCGATTTGTCTTTTCTTTTCTTGGAAAATGCATTTAATTTAAGAACTTCCGGAATATTGGTTGGTCCAACAAGTCTTCTTCTTGGCATGTTCGGCTTGGTCTCGCGTTTGATGGCTGTTTCGAAATTATTTATAATATAATTTTGTCGTCAAAAAACACATAATAGGCTAACAATGACCACGTAATGATTAATATAAAGTTTGTTTGCTGTCATAAAAAAAAGGCTAACTATGACCACGGGATTTTTGTTTTCACACGTCTTTTTTTCTGATGAGTAAGATTTTTGCCATTGAGAAAAATCATATTACATATGTGTTTTTATAGAGTTAAATGTTTATCTGTCACTTAATCAAATCAATTACATTTTAATGGTGACAAAAAAGTTTAAGCTTGTTTTTTTTTTTGTAGTGAAGATTCTACATTCTTACTAATCTGCTGTCTCTGAAGAAACTTTGATTAAGTTTGGCTAGCTTCTTTACAGGTGTTTCTCTGTTGCTTACTTGCTGGTCTAAGTATCTGTTGGTTCAACACAGTCTGCTTTGTGCTCTGCATCAGTAACTTCCCTGCAAACAGAGCACTTGCTCTTTCTCTCACTGTAAGCTTCAATGGCGTAAGCGCTGCTTTATACACTCTCGCTTACAACGCAATCAATCCAGCCTCTCCAGAGCTATACCTTCTCTTAAACGCCCTTATACCGCTCGTTGTCTCTTTCACTGCAATCATCCCGATTCTTCGCCAACCTCCTTTTGAGCCTCTTCCACCAGATGGAGTTCGCCGCGACTCTCTCATGTTTCTCTTGCTCAACATCCTCGCTGCTTTAAACGGCGTTTATCTCCTTCTCTTTGGTTCAAACTCATCTGATCTAACCTCTGCTCGTCTCCTCTTCGGTGGAGCAATCGTCCTCTTGATCTTCCCTTTGTGTATACCCGGTTTAGTCATCGCCAGGAACTGGTATCTTAACACAATCCACTCTAGTTTCCGTCTCGAAGGCTCCGGTTTCATTCTTGTTGATCCTGATGAGCTTGAGTTGCATAAAGGGATGGTTGCACACGAAGCGAATCGAGAAAGCTACCAATTGCTGAACGAAGATGTTTTGCAGAACCCGGTTAAGACAATGATAGCAGCAGAGGAAGATGAAGATATCGATGAGTCTTGTTGTTGCAAGAAGCTTATTACAAGAGACCAGCTTGAGATACTGGGGATTGAACATCATTTGGGTCAGCTCTTACGCAGAGCAGATTTCTGGTTATACTATATCGCGTATTTCTGCGGTGGAACCATCGGGCTTGTGTACAGCAACAACCTCGGACAGATTGCTCAGTCTTTAGGACAAAGCTCAAATACAACAACTCTTGTCACGCTTTATTCATCTTTCTCATTCTTTGGTCGACTGCTTTCTGCAACACCGGATTATATCAGAGCGTAAGTGCATCGATCTTTGATTAGTTCAAGTCTCTCTGGTTTGATTGCGGATTGTGAATGTTTATGATTTGTGCAGGAAGGTTTACTTTGCAAGAACAGGGTGGTTGGCAATCGCGCTTTTACCAACACCAATCGCGCTTTTCTTGCTCGCATCGTCAGGAAACGCGTCGGCATTACAAGCGGGAACCGCACTGATGGGTTTAAGTTCCGGGTTTATATTCGCAGCAGCGGTTTCTATCACATCAGAGCTTTTTGGACCAAACAGTGTTGGAGTTAACCACAACATCTTGATCACAAACATACCGATAGGATCGTTGATCTATGGATTCTTGGCTGCATTGGTCTACGACTCGCATGGTTTCAACGGGATCAAATCGGTGACGGACTCGGTCGTGTGTATGGGACGAGGTTGCTATTACTTGACGTTTGTGTGGTGGGGTTGCTTGTCGGTGCTTGGACTAGCTTCGAGTCTTGTGTTGTTTATTAGAACCAGAAGAGCTTATCAACGGTTTGAACAAGCTCGGATCATTTCAAACATGGTTGATTCTTAGAGGTATTTGCCTCAACCCCCAATGGCTCTTGTATATCAGTATATGTAGGATCTAAATAATAACAGACGTATTATTGAAATTTTACGCATTTTTGCTGATCATTAATAGCGGTTTTTAAATTTTGTTTTTGGATATTAGGAAGTAACTACTAAATAGTAAAAACTAAGTACGAGTACTAACTAAAATATATAGCTTTTAGTTTATAATAGGTCCATTTGACAAAAACTATTTGCTGACAATAAAGCAATACTTAAGTGAAGAATCTAAAAGAGTGGATATTTGTGTAACCATATATTATGTAAATGATTACATGTAAAAAAATGTTATGTAAATGTTTACATTACTATAGACTCACTTTATCATTACAGGAAGATAAAATAAAAGATAAATCAAGATACTTGAGTAATTTACTACTTACTAATTTAGGGGTAGATACAAAACCTCTGATCCTTAATACAAAGAAAGAGCCTCTCATAAGCCAAAGCCATCTTACTCGCCGTAAACATCTCCGCCGCGTACTCTTTACATTTCCTCCCTCTCTCCGCCAATCTCTCCGCTCCTTCCGCCACCGCAACCTCCATAACCGCCGTCAAAGCCTCAACATTCGGCGCAAACATAAACCCAAACTCATCATTCACCACAATACTCCTCTTTATGCTCGCATACCTTGACGCCATCACCGGTTTACCACTCAACATCGCTTCCATTAACGTCAAATCAAGACCTTGTGGTCTAAGCGTCGGATTCACGAACAAATCGATACCATTGTAAAAGCCCTTGAGCTCATTTGGATTTAAAGATCCCAAAATGGAAACTTTTTCCCCTAATTCCTTGTAACGGTTCTCCCATGGCCCTGATCCAGCTACCACGAGGTAAACATTTGAATACGTCTCGATTAGTTTCTTGAAAGCTTCATAGAGAATTGGATGCCCTTTGTCTTTGACTAATCTCCCTGCGGCTCCTAGAACGATAGCTGATGAGTTTTCCGGTAGCCCTAGTTTTGACCTAAACAGAGAGCGTAGCTTCTTGTCTGATGTGAATCCGTTTTCATCGACTCCGTTGAGGATCACGTGAACTCTTTTCTCCGGGATTTGGTAAACGTCTCTTAGCATTTCCCCGCAGCTGTTGCTGATTGCGATGTGATGAGCGTAGTTGTGGAAAAATCTGATTTCATCGAGTATCTTGGGAATCACGGCACCATACAAGCTTGCATTGAACCCTTGCGACCTTGGTTCGTCTGGTTTACGGATTAGGTCTTGGTAAATGCTTGATTGTAAGCTCTCGAGTGCTATGCCGTGCCACGAGACGGCTAGGTTTGGAACATCTCGGGCGATCCAATGCGGTAATGCCACGCTTTCGGAGTGAACCGCATCAAAAGGTTCTTTCCGGTTTTCTTCTTGGTAAAGCTCCCATGCTTTGTTGTACCGCCATTTTCCGGGCTCTGCGTCGCCGTGGGAATGGATTGTAGGGTTAAGGGTTTGGTCGGAAACAGGGGTGATTTTGTTGGTTTCAGGGGAAGAGTCTAAGGGAGAGGTGAAAACGTGGACGCGGTGGCCACGACGAGCTAAAGCAGTGTAGAGAGTGAAGGCGTGGCGTTCCATGCCGCCGGGATTGGGCCCGGTGGGCCATTTCCGGGAGAAAACTGCGAGTCTGAGGGTTTTGGGAGGAGGGTTGGTTAAGGAGAAAGCAAGGCGGTTCCATGCAAATTGGGCTGTTAGGAGATCACCGGACCACGGTGGCTGGTTAGTGTCAGAGGAGGAGACTGCGGCGGTGGATGATGAGCAAGAAGAGGTGCGGAGGAGGAAGAGAGCCGGGATGGTAAAGAGGACGGTGAAGAAGAGGAAAGTGCAAAGGCTAAAATGAGAATTAGGTTTCTTGAGTTTGGTTTGTAAAGCCATTCTCTGATTTCTGATATTTTCTTCTTCTTCTTCACAATGGACTGTTTTATTGTTTTGTTCAGTTAAATGATACATAAAAGGCAAATTGCCATTTTTCGTCTCCGGAAATTAATTATAAGCTTGCAATATAAGTAAAAGGATAAAGTGGAGATGGTCCAATAAAGTTGTTTTTTTTTCAAAATTTTAAAAATATTTTCTAGTGGCTTGGTAACGTCTAAAAATGACCAAGAAAGAAACGTGAGGCCTCCATTACTTTTGTGGGGTTACTTCGGTTGTATGTATGGGAAATGGTCATGTGACTTGTTGCGTGACTTTTTAACACATAATGTGAACCCTCCTACTTCTCATGATTTTTTTTTTTATAAACAATATTACTATTTGTGTATTGAGAAATTTATACATTTATAATGTAGGTCAATGGTCTAAGACATTGGTAAGGTTCGAAGCAAATCTATTTTGTTAGTGTGTTTGGCGTCCACTTTTTTGACTTTTTGATTGTGACATATTCATTCTTATAGTGCGCGGATTTTTTGGTATTTGACAACTCAAGCATTTGACTTTCTTCCCTAACTTTTTAAGTCATACATCTTGTTATATAAAATCAAACTTATGAATAAAGTTAACATATGTGGCAAATGAACTGGTGATGCATTTGTATTGGAACTTTACTTCAAGTTTACAAGAATCTTATTAATTATATGCAAGAGATAATATCGTAATAAGTTTGCATTGGAACTTTACTTTAATGCTCAATGAATCTTATTACAAGTCAAACTTTAGCTTTTTACAATTTCAGAATAGCCCCCAAAGAAAAACAGATTTTGAGATTTTTGTACTGATGTAACTGCAGAGGAAACTTTCTTCAAATCTCTGAAGAATAATTTGGTTTGTGTTTGAGAAACAGAACTTACACTACATAGATACAATTCCCTAATTTACACTTGAAACTGCAGAAATTCTAAACAATCTGTCCCAGCAATTCACTTAAAAGATGGAGTTAAGATTGGTACATGATCGATCTCTGTTTGAATCCCACCCTTGTCTGAAATCAGCTTTATACAATAAGTTATTTCCAGAGATTAGACTTTGCTGGCTCCATGTAACGAAGAACAGAACACTCATGATCAACATAAGAGATTTCTTCTTTTATTCTTTTCCCGTTCAGTAGCTCTTCTTCTTGTAGACATAAACGGGCTCTCTTGGACACAACAACTTCTTCCATAGCGGTTTCATTGAGATCTGTTTCTTTTTCAGATACAGCTTTCTCGAGGTTACTCTCCTGTAATCCCTGCAACCTATAATCATTCTCATCCGGTGCATATAACAAGCTCATCCCACATTTTACCACCTCACAACAATCTAGCTTTCTTTTGGATACACCATCAGTAACAAAGAATTTGAATGAGGCGGTGGTGTTGCAACATCTATTGAGATCATGGCTTTTCTTGGCGTGGAAGCAATTGTTATAGCTGATGAACACATGATCAGAGCTAAGTCTTCTCGGTTCTTCTTCTTGGCTCGATGATCCACATTGCTCTTTCCATCCCCCAAGATTACAAGTAAAGCCGATGCAATCACCATCTTCATTTCTGAACTTGCACTTGCATATTACTCTGAAACGGCTGGTTTTATCTTTATAGTCTTTGAACGCGACAACCGCACAGAGAGAAAGTCCGACGAATTTATCGTCGCACCAGTGTGGAGGCAGGTGGGTTTCCATGGAAGATCCTATTCTCTGATGGCGGAACCATAATGGCAAATCGTTCCCTGGAAAACTTACACCAGATAAAGGTTCCATAACTAGTCCCTGAAATGATGAAACGAAAACAAATCAAATGAGCGTGACAGGTGAATGGAAATGTCACTGGAATAATAACAAAGTAAACAAAGATTAGACCTTATCGTTACGTTGAAGAGATCCATTCACTAGTATTTGACTCTTGAGTTGAGTATGAGCCACAATATTTTCTTGTGCATCACGGTTCAGCTTAAAACAGTCAGTAAAGACGAAAGTAGACTGGGTCTTTTCAGATACCACAAGAAGCGTCATGGGTTTTGCTACTGTTTCGAGTGAGATACAGCCATGAGCATCCAAGTACTGCAGACTTGAGGGAAGCACTGGAAGAGAAATGAGCTTTTGACAATGCTTCAAGTAGAGAGACTTGAGATGATGGAGTTTCTTGATGCTTCCAGGTAGATTCTTGATATTGTTTCTGCTCAAGCATAAAGACTGCAGCAAGGATAAGCAGCTAAAATTGTCCGGCAACTTGTACAGATTGCAATCTGTGAGATACATGTCGGTTAACCGAGAGCAGCCAGAGAAAGGAAGCAATTCCAAACACGTGAGATCCAGAACTTTTGATCCACCAAATGAAAACAGCTTGAGATTACTCATACACATTGTTCTGGGAGTTTGTTTAATGGCGGTATCATCCATGAGCAGAATCTCTAAGCTTCCCATGTCCTGATCGATGTCCGGGAATCTCTCTAGCCTTGAACAACCAGAGAGAATCAGTTCTTTCAGAGATTTCAGCTTGCAGAAATTGTCAGGAAGACGCACCAACCTGTAACACTTCTTTAGACTTAACACAGAAAGGTTTCGGAGAGAGACTATGGATTCAGGAACTCTTTTTACCGCTGTGCCATCCAAATATAGAGATTCTATGTTTTCTGAGATAGTTGGAAATTTCTTGAGTTTTGAACACCCACTGAGGATAAGAATCTTCAGAGACTTCAAATTGATTCTCTTTGGAAGACTCTTGAGGTTTATGCAATCTCTGAGATTTAGTGAAACAAGACTGTCCATCTGCTGGATCGATGAACACTTGGCTAAACTTGTACAACATTCAAGATTCAATCTCTCGAGTTTACGAGCTTCCAACAAGCCAGCTAGATTCAGCAACTCTTTTGAATAACTCAGATCGACCGACCTTAACTCTCCTGTGTTCTGCAATAAGTGGATCAATAATTTAATAACCACATACACACTTAATAACACTATATAATATGATGAAATGGGAGACTTTACAGCTAAACTTGTACCTTCTCATCTTCCCACAGTTGCGTAATGTTGCTATATCGCAGATTAAGATCAACGAGTTTCTTAGGGTTGAAGTTCAATGGAAGATGCTCCAAAGGATACCCTTGCCAGTGGAGATACACTAGCTCATCTGGAAAGCAATCAATCCCATTGGGAAAACGAAATCTACAATCACTCTCACACCACTTGGAACAATGAGAATTGTAGAGCTTCAGGAATTTGAGACTTGACATCCTTGTGAAAATATCGCCACTTAGCTTCATGCTTTCTACATTAGACATATCTAAGAAGAGGCCTCTAATTTCTGCAGTGCCCTGGAAAAGTAATATTGTTAAGCAGCAAAAAAAGATAGTAGAAAGAAACCACATTCATAAGAACAAATGAAACACATTATGGCTCACCGTTTTATACTTTAAAACGCGACATATATCTTCTTGGTCCCATAACCGGCCGCGTGAGCCTGCGTCCTTGATGGATGATTCATAACCAATTTCCTTCCCCATTTTCAGGAGTAGGTCGTGCATCTCAAGCCGGTTATCAGAAATGGTCACCAAACACTTATCAACAAGATCATTTATCACTTGAGAAGCATCAACAAGGGAAGTGCTCAGAATCCTCGAAGCAAAATCAAACGTTTCCGACCTAAAGAAACACGCAACATCCAGAAATACGCTCTTCTCTTCCAAGCATAGTTCCTCATAACTCATCTTCAGTACTTCTTGAATCTTCCCGTCTGGTCTTCTCTGCAACTTCTCCAGTTTCTTCACCCAATACACCTTATCTCTTTGACATAGATCAGAACCTAACAACTTCAAAGCTAATGGATGCCCATAAGAGTAATCCACAAACTTGTTTGATAGATCCATGAGCTCTGCTGTGGTGCATAGATTACTAGAAAACGCACTCAAGCAGAAAAGCTCCAGAGATTCTCTTCCGCTCAGTCTCGGAACCACATATGTTTCATTGACAACACTCTCTAGCAGTTTCTTGTCCCTTGTTGTTATAACAATCCGAGTTCCTACTCGGTACAGCTGTTGTCCCACTCCCCCAATAAGAAGTCTTATTTGATTTTCGGTGGTCACACCATCGAGCACAATAAACAGTTTCTTGTTCCGAAGACGGTCCTTCAAGGCTTCGTGTGCTCCTTCAGGAGCTCCAACGTCGAGATTCTCTTCGTCTAGTAACTTACAAAGGAGCTTCCGCTGCAAATGATCAACTCCATGTAGCTTTGACTCATTTTGAACATTTGCAAGAAAGCAGTAACCATCAAAGTGACTGTAGTTTCGCTTGTATACACAATCCGCAACAGTTGTCTTACCAATCCCGGCCATCCCAAGAACCCCGACAATTCGCACACAACTCGTCTCTTCAAAACGCATTAGCTTTTGCAGTTCCATCATACGCGATTCAATCCCCGGAAGACCTCGAATTTCAGAAGGAGACAACTTGTTTAGCAACTTGAACGTGTCTTTGGCAATTCTGTCAACAAACTCACACTCCGGGCTGCCATGTTCATCATCATTTTAGGAAAGATAAGTTGCAAGTTAATGGAAGAATATTACTTGCATTAAAATTTGAAGCATTGACACAAACAAAGCACAAAATTTGGCATAAAGAACTCTATTAAGGTTCCAGATTGATGAAATATGACAATGAAAAAGTGAAAAACAACAGTTCTGGTTCTAATTCCTTCTTTCCTCATATAAGCAGTCAAGTCAACCGAGGCTTAACCAATTACTAAACCGGAAATCAATTAAAAATTAAACACATAATTCTTTAGAGCAGTAACCCGAGACTTAAGAAAATCTTAAACCGGAATTAATTAAATCTCCAAACCAAAACCCTTTAGTTACCTTCTCTCCGGCAGTACATAGCCGGCGATTTCCGAAGCGGCTCTTAGAGCTTCTTTCCATGCCGGGACTTTATGTTCAAATCCCTGGAAAATCTCTTCAGATCTTTCGAACGGAGCTCCGAATTTCCCAGTTTGATGCTTCACGTCCGATGTCGGAACTTTGTAGAAGACCGGCAAAACCACCTGATTGAAGGTCTTCTTGCACTCCATGATCTTCGCGAGCTCCTCTAAGCACCAGGCGGAATTCGCGTAATTCTCTGAGAAAACGACGATCGAGACCTTTGATTGGTCGATCCTATCGAGAAGCCCTGAGAGACCGTTGCCTCGCCGGAGTTCCTCATCGATGAAAGCATCGATCCCTTTCCGGCGAAGAAAGTCGAGGAGATAGCAGGTGAAGGAATGGCGCGTGTCTGCACCTCGGAAACTGAGAAACACGTCGTACTGTCGGCGGGAAGGATCAGAGGAAGAAGATTTAGCAGCCATGGAAAAAAAGTATGTGGTTAGAAATGAAATGAGGATAATACAGAAACAGTAAGACTATGTCCATCGGTCGTTTCTATTTGAATTTTTAAACATTAAAATATTAAAAAAAAATTGATTAGCATGAAAGAGAAAGAAGCAACTTATATTATATAGGGATTTTTAGATACGTTTTTTAACTTTCTTATCTCTTAGTTATTTGTTTACTTTCTCTTTTAAAATATAATTTAAATCTAAAAGAAATGAAAAGAAAAATATTAATTTTATAATGTTTATATTGATTTTATAATGTTATAAGGGTTCTGTATCGGTGTGTGAAAAATAACTGGAGAGTGAGTCTTCCCTGTGGGTCATACGCTAGGATTCGCATTCAACATGTTCCCAATTATTGGTGTGTGAAAACGCAAAAACGAGCCTCCGTCCCAATTATTCCAGGAAACACCGCGTCCGCGTTTTTGTCTGAGCTTTACATTTCTTCCTGCTCTATTCGCCGTCAGGGCTTGCCCAATTTTCGGCCTTCTTCACTCCCGCGGGTTTCTTTCGTCCAAAGGATAGAATGATCGCCCGTATGAAGAGATCCTCGACTCTGAAAGGGGATAGACCGCCGGTTCTGTGGCTAGATCGGCGAGACGCGACGGAGTTTGTGGACTATGACGCGTATTATTCTAGATTGTTCACTGAAGATTTTTCAGTCTCGACTTCTTCTCTGACGACGCGCCCTCTAGAGTTCCCAGATCGCAACAGTTTCCGTATCTTAGGAGGAGGCGGTAGCGAAATGGATCGGATTTACCGGTCCCTTGGGGTTTCCGGTCCCAAGGATTTGGCGATTTCGTTTGACGCGTGGGAGGCTTGCAAACGTTCCTCTTATAATATTATTGATAGTGAGAAGTTTCAGGCCGAGGCTGCTAAAGCTGCTGATTCACTGGGTCTAGACAATACCAAGCTGACGCTGGCACCAAGGACTTCCACTAGGGACTCGTTCGAAGGCTGGAATGATTTCTTTGAATTGCTCAGGAACAGGCAACTTCCGCGTTCGCTCTCTGGGTGCACCGCCGTTGAATTCCTGAGCCGCCTTCCCTCCGACAAAATCGAAGCCATCGTCGACAACCTCACCTCCGCCAATTTTTTTGCAATCACCGGAGACCATAACGAAAATCATTTTGGCACCCCAATTTTTGGAAAGCATGCGAATGGCGAGAAGAATCTCAATCCCAATTACCAAAGCCTTCCCGGAGGATACAAATCTGAAACCACGGGACGATACCACGACGACGACAAGGAGGATCTGTTCGAGATATGTTTGACAACCAGCGATGTCGGGAACCTAGACCGCCTCGTCGTCACCGCCAACAAGGACGCCGGTAAGTACTTTCGCTTAGCCACCATCCTCACAGGCACCGACAGTCTCCTTCGATTAGAGGATGGTGAAGGTAAGACATGGCTGTTTGGGTTCTCATACCCCACCAACATCAGTCAAAGCTACGAATTTACGAAAGGTTGGGGCAACTACGTTAAGGAGAAGAAGCTACGTGCAGGAGACTTTGTTTTCTTCCAACGAAGCCGAACCGACGGCAGCAAGCTCTTCATTGGCTTCAGAAGGCGCGGCAGTGGTGGCGCTGCTCTCGGAGATGATGATGCTCACGAGTTTTCTCCTAGTGCAGTACTGAATTCTACATCACCAGCTACATCCGACAAAACTCTAGAACTGAGAGAGAATCTCGAGGAAGTTGATACTCCTTTCCAGCTAAGATCGCCGGAGCATAGAATAAAAGGGTTTGAACCTATATTAGTCATTTCTTGTGGCGACAACCAGGACTCCGAGGAGAAATACTTCATCAGCTACATCTTCAACGAGTTGTCTCTCCATGGCTTCACCCCTTTGAGATGTGATCTAACCTGGAGCATAGCAATTGAGAATCCAGAGATGCTATACAGATCCCGAGTTGCTATTATCGTTTTCTCCATGAACTATGCTTGTTCCAGAGAGTGCCTGGATGGATTTGTGGCAATCATGGACCATTTGAAAGCAAACAACCTTTTGAGTATTCCTGTGTTTTTTAAAGTAAGTCTTCCGGACGTCAGGGGTCAAAGTGGCTCTTTTGAAAAAGCTTTCACTCGACTTGAGAATTCAGTCCAGGCATCCCAAGTTCTGAAATGGAGGGCGGCTATGATCGAATTAACTTCCATCAATACATATCAGTACATGAAGGGGTAAGTTGATTTCTCATTTCTCTCAGTAGGCCATTTTATAACTGTTCAGTGAGGTAAATGTCTCTGACTCTGATGTTTTCTCTGTGTAGGGATGAGGTTATGCTGGCCAAGAATATTGTCAGAGATGTCTGTTTACTGCTCAATTCTGAAACAAACAAGAAGCTACAAGGAATGAGGCTTCAGTTAAAAAGAATATTGTCTCTGCTGAATTGTTCTCAGACTTCATCCCCACAGATTGTTGGACTTTGGGGTATGGCTGGCATTGGGAAGACTACCATCACTAGAGAAATTTTCAGAACACAAGCTGAGAGATATGACGTGTGCTACTTTCTGCCAGACTTTGATCTAATGTGTCAAACAAAAGGGTTGAGTCATTTGCGGGAAGAGTTCTTCTCGAAAATCTTTGGGGAAGAAAACAGTTTCATAAACGCATGTGATACAAAACTAAGTTTCACAAGGGATAGGTTTCTTGGTAAAAGTGTACTCATTGTTGTTGATGGTGTGAGTAATGCTAGAGATGCAGAAGTTTTGGTTGGAGGGTTTGGCTGGTTTTCTGGTGGACATTCAATCATCTTAACATCTAGGAATAGACAAGTTCTTGTACAGTGTAAAGCCAAAGAGATCTACGAGATCCAGAAACTATCGGAACCTGAATCTCTTCGCCTTTGCTGCCAGTTTGCCACTGAACAAAACTGGAAGGAAAGGATGTCGTTGATCTCGGAGCTGTTGAACTACGCTAGTGGCAATCCATTAGTTCTGCAAGTCTTAGGTTTGTCTATACAAAAGCAATGTATTGACGATGAGAAACAGCATCTGAGAAGGCTGCGACAGCATCCTCCTATTAAAATTCAGGATGCATTTAGAAGAAGTTTTAATGGATTAGATGACAACGAGAAAAACATATTTTTGGACCTGGCATGTTTTTTCAGAGGGGAGAATAAAGATCTTGTGGTGAACATCCTTGATGGTTGCGGGTTTCTTACAGATTTAGGAATCTATAGTCTCATTGATGAGTCTCTCATCAGCCTTGTAGATAACAGGATAGAAATGCCTAACATTTTCCAAGACACGGGTCGATTTGTTGTTTGTCAAGAACACGAAGAGGCAGGCAAGCTAAGCAGATTGTCGGATTCTAATGACACAGCTGATGTGCTGACAAACAATTCAGTAAGTTTTATTAATAACGTTTCAATACTGCTTCGGTTCTTTCTTTCAGTGATAAAGCTAATGTTTCCCTTTTTCTTCAGGGAACGGAAGCAATTGAGGGCATATTTCTGGATGCGTCTGGCCTGGAATTGGAGATGAGTGCTACTGTATTTGAGAGGATGTATAGACTTAGACTGCTCAAGCTCCACTGTCCAACTTCGGAAAACCACAGTAAGGTTTGTCTACCTCAAGGCCTCCACTCTTTGCCTGATGAACTACGGCTACTCCACTGGGAAGGATATCCTCTAGGATCCTTACCTCGGAATTTCAATCCTATAAATCTTGTAGAACTGAACATGCCCTATAGCAACTTGACAAAACTATGGAAAGGAACAAAGGTACGTCTTGACATTATGGTGCAATCTGCTGCATACATGAGGTAGTTAGCTTGTACTTAATGTCTCATTTTAGTTGTTCGTGTTTGTAAACAGAATCTTGAGAAGCTAAAGAGGATCATTCTGAGTCACTCCCGACAGTTGACTAAGTTCCCAAGGCTTTCAAAGGCCAGGAACCTTGAGCATATTGATCTTGAAGGATGTACGAGTCTGGTAAAAGTTAACTCATCTATTCTTCATCATCACAAGCTTACTTTCTTGAGTCTGAAAGACTGTTCTCATTTGCGATTTATGCCTACCACGGTTCATCTGGAATCTCTTGAAGTTCTTAACCTATCTGGCTGCGCAGAGCTCGAGGACTTTCAGGGTTTCTCGCCAAACCTGAAAGAGCTATATCTAGCTGGAACTGCCATTAGAGAAATGCCATCGTCAATCGGGGATCTCACTAAGCTTGTTACATTAGATCTAGAGAATTGTAATAGACTTCAGCACCTGCCACAGGAGATAAGTAATCTGAAAACTTTGGTGACCCTTTGCGCAAAACGTCCTGCTTCTTCCATGAATCTATCTAGCGTGGAGGATACGGCACCAGCATATAAGAGACACAGATTGAAGAGAGTTATTGAAACTGTTATTCTGAGCTTAAGAAAAAGAAAGCGAGGAAAGTGTGTCTCTAGAGCCACAAACCAGGTAAACATCGCGCCACGTTGATGTTGAGCTCAATCAACCTAATATGAATGAGGTTTATTGATGGCTTAAAAAGACAGTTTTCTCTCCTCTTCTAAACCAGTTAGCTTCATTCTGCAGGTTCATCGTGGCTCAGCTTCTACCTCGGCAAATGATCCCTCTTCTTTTTGTGGATTCCATGTTTTACCAGAAAGACCCGACCAATCCAAATGCCTATTTTACATGAAGACAGGAGATTGCAAATTTGGTAATGCTTGTAAATTTCATCATCCGAAAGACAGAGAAATCTCTCTCCGTGAGAGTTCCTTAAGCCCCATAGGCCTCCCATTACGGCCGGTAAGCTACTTCATATACTAGCAATAACAGACGTCCTTTAAACTTCATCATACAACTATCCAACACTCAAATGAATCTTGTTCGACTTTAACCTGGCGTCTATTTCATCTCATCACAATCGTCTGTGAGCTTGATTTTGTCGCATACTCATTTTTCTCTCTCTTTTAACAGGGAAAACCTCTGTGTCCCTTGTATTTTCACAATGGAAACTGCAGCTCCGGTCCTACTTGTAATTTTGATCACCCGTCGTTGGTATTAACACACAAGAATACATCTTCCGTGGCTTCCGAGACACTGCACTTGAGTACACTACGGGTTTCTTCTACAATTGAAGATTCATCAAGAGATTCCTCAAGTGAGTTTGTGGAAGCATCAACGAAGAAACCCAGAACAGACAAGAATACATCTTTCGTGGCTTCCAAGACACTGCACTTGAGTCCGCTTCGGTTTTCTTCTTCAATTGGAGATTCATCAAGAGATTCATCCGGAGACTCATCAAGTGAGCTTGTGGAAGCACCAACTATGAAACCCAGAACACACAAGAATCCATATTCCGTGGCTTCCGAGACACTGCACTTGAGTCCGCTACGATTTTCTTCTACAATTGGAGATTCATCAAGAGATTCATCAAGTGAGCCTGTGGAAGCATCAACTAAGAAACCTAAAACACACAAGAATCCATCTTCGGTGGCTTCCGAGACACTGCACTTGAATCCTCTACGTTTTTCTTCTTTAAATGGAGATTCATCAAGAGATTCATCAAGTGAGCCTGTGGAAGCATCAACTAAGAAACCCAGAACACACAAGAATACATCTTCCGTGGCTTCCAAGACACTGCACTTAAGTCGGCTAGGATTGTCTTCCTCAATTGGAGATTCATCAAGTGAGCTTGTGAAAGCATCAACGGTGTCTGAGGTGATACAAGCAACCGATGATGGAGACACCACATATGTTGCAAACTTTAGTGAAGAAGAACTCGATTTGTTGGGCTCATCCCTAACATATCCACCGAGCTCTATCTGTAAACCTACTCAATCAGCAGCTCAGATTAATGAGGTTTCCAGGGCTCGATCTTTGGAGAAGAAGCTAACCAAAGAGTTTGGAGATAGCGAATTTGGAGTGTGTGTACGTTCTCCTAAAACACGCAAATCAAGACGTTCTGATAGTGAAGGATCCGTTCATGATGCTGCTATCCGGATTCAATCCGAATTCCGTGGCTTCAAGTGCCGAAAAAGACATTTGATTACTATACAAGGAATCGTTTTAATACAGGTAAATGTTTGAAAAGTAATGAAATGTTCTTGATTCCTTTTTCTTTTACTCTGATTCTAACCGTTTTAACTACCAATTGGCAGGCTCGTTGGAGAGGCTACCAGGTTAGAAAAAACTACCGGAATTCAGTTTTGTAAATGGGGATAATAGAGTAAGGTGGAAGCATCACAATGCGATAATAATCTGCAGAGGAGACGAGACCATTGATACAGAGCAAGAGTGCAAGACTAAAAGCTTTTGTCACAATAAGAGCTGTAATGATTTGATGATTCATAATGAAGAATCAGTGTACTGTGAAAATTATATTTGCTTAACTGAAAAATGTATATATGCAAATAATCAATATTTCTACAATTATATAATATCTGTAATAATTAATTTCTAATAGCCTAGAAAAGCCAAAATCAAATTTTAATGCATCAAACATTAATCATAGACTATTTTTCTTGGCAGATGACGTGGACACCTAATCGACCGTCGTTTGAATCTTGGCAGTGAAAACCTTGCACTGCTCACACCACCACCTCTCGAACCATCTCACCAAGTCTCGACCCAGAGGGCTTCCTCAGTCCTCCCTGTGTTCTTTCTTCCTTCTCTCCAGATCCAACTCTCACCATTTTTCTTTTGTCACAAGAGACAAAATCGATTCGATCCACCCTCTTAAATTCCCAAAGCTCTCTCCGATTTCGAATTTCAGTTTTTTCTCCCCCAGATCAATTTGTTGTAGTTTCTCTGAAGAAGAAAATCAGTTTTGGTGGTTCATGATTTTGCTCTCGTGAGCTCCTTATGGATTCGCAGCCTTCCTTAATGGGAAGGTTCATTGCCAACACTAACCGATCGAGCTTAGATCTTGGCCGTCCTTCGTCTTCGTCTTCGTCTTCTTCTCCTTCATCGTTAACCAAATCCATCTCCGATGCAAGTAGCCAGAGCCTCTCTTCGATCCTCAACAATCCACATGGAGGCAAGTCTGGTGTTTATGGCTCCGATGCGTCTTGGGTTGGTTGGTGGTCGTCGTCGACGTTCGTAGCTCCCTCTGAGTTCGCCCCTGTTGCTTCAACGAAGCTCCCGGGCTCAGAGCTGACCAGATCCGACTTCCATGGCTACGTCTCGTCGATCTCTGAGTCTCATGGTAGGTTTGAGGATATCAGGAACCACACGAGGGAAGAGAGCTCTGGGTTTGATCAGGAGAGCCACGTATCGGGTTTAGCCGCGTGTCTGCGTGAGGTTCCTTCGCTCTACTTCAAGGAGGATTTTGCCCTCGAGGACGGAGCTACATTTCGTTCTGCTTGCCCTTTCTCGACCCTGACGGAGAATCTAGCCCTTCAAGAGAAGCTGTCACAGTATCTTGATGTGGTGGAGATGCATCTCGTGAAGGAGATCTCCGTGAGGTCGGATTCGTTCTTCGAGGCACAGGGGCAGTTGCAGGATTTGAATGTGAAGATTGTTGAGGGTTGTAGTAGGATCCGCGAGTTGAAAGAGACTATTCGGCTCCTAGACAGGAATTTGGTAGATTCGGCTCGACAGATTCAAGAGCTGAGCTCAACGAGGATTAATATGTTGGAGCTGCAACGTAAATTGAGACTTATTTTGTATGTTAACCAAGCTCTCTCTGCACTCAAATTGGTAAATTTTCTTACTGATTCAGCTTAGAGTAGTGTCAAGTTAGCTAATTTTGTGTATTTCCTCGTTTTCTTGATGGAAGTTTGATTCTTTATTCTTCAGCTTGTTGCGTCCGCAGATTGTGCTGGAGCTTTGGATATAACTGACGATCTCCAGAACTTGTTGGTAAGTTCATCTGTGATTGATGTTGTATACGTTTAGATGCTTAAGGCGCTGTGTCTTAAGAAGCTAAAATAAGTTTCCATCTTTTTTAGGCTGGGGATGAGCTAACTGGTCTACACTGCTTCCGTCATCTTCGTGATCATGTTACTAGTTCCATAGATTCTATAAACAGGTGTGTCTCTATTCAGGTTATGATGACTGACTAAAATAGACTGTATTCAGTCTGCCTGTTAAGGTCTCTTAGGAGAAGCTCTAACTTCTCTGAGCTTTTGTTTTAGCGCCAATAAAGTGTTTCTTATGTTCGTGGATGGATAGGGAACACAATGAGACTTAGTAGAATTTCATGTTACTTGTGCCAAGTACCTTACCAAAGCAACCAATTAATTCTGGTTTATTCATAGCAAATGTCACGGTTTCTAGTGTAAAATCAATACTTTCATGTTTCAGGTGCTTGGTCATTTGTTGACAATTGATATGTTAAGCGTTATATGAATGCATCCTGGCTTGTATCATTCTAAGATTAATGAGTCATAACTTCTGAACTCCTAACCGTCCCCCTCAACTTGTGTCTTTCATGCGGCAATGCCTTGCTGGCTAATTCCCCTTATTATGATGAATTCTGGTTTTGCAATTGAATGTACTTTGGTCTTCATTACTTGTAGATTCATTCATATGTAGTTAGCTTCAAAGGTGTAGAGCACTGTAAAACCTATTGTCAGTTATATTGATTTTCATTGGTAGTGCTGTTTCGTGAAGACTTAGTAGTTCATAATATTTAGTTCACCTTCTATATTTGCCTGCGTTTTCTCTATTATTATCTTCTATTTATTTATTTGGTCTAGTGTCTAATGCCTTGATATTTTGTTTTTGTTTTTGTAGTATTCTAACATCAGAATTTATGCGTATCTCAATACACAATACTGGGGAAATATATGTACTGATTTTATCTACAGCAAAAGTACGGGGATCCATTTCATCTAACGGGAAGACCGGTGATGAGGTATGTCTAATCCGATACAGATGCATAATTTTTTTAAATGGATATCGGCGCTTCTTTTTGTACTATATGGTGCTTAATTGTTGGTGTAAAAATTTAATAGAAGATCCTAAACTGTGAGAAGTGGTAGATAATCAGCAAAACAACCGAAATAACGTCCATGAATATGAATATTGCGTTTACATTTTTGCAGGTTAATCTAGAAGAAGAGGATACCTCTAGCTTATGTGATCGGCTTCTTCCTCTAGTTATTGGATTGCTAAGAACGGTGAGTGCCCGGTCCTGATTTTACAACATATGATACTACTGAAGTTTACAATCGTTTATTGTTTTTTACTTCTTCGTTTATACTGTTTCTGGTCATTATTGTTGGTTCATAGTTCTCATTAGGTATCTAGTCTGGAATCAGTTTCTCATGTGTTGTTCTTTGGACTGTTTTCCGTAGGCAAAGTTCCCCTCAGTTTTGAGGATGTATCGTGAAGCACTTACATCCGAAATGAAAAATGCAATCAAGAACGCAGTTGCCGAGCTGCTTCCAATTCTTGTTGCAAGATCGCTCGAATCTGATTTTTCACATGGGGAGCGCTCAGTAGATGTTGATGGTGAGATTTTAGTCGTTGTTACTATGTAGTAAGATTGTCATGTTACTTGGTTTGTGCACGTAAACATAGTTAAACATAAGTTTAGTAAGTACTTGAGAAGTATAAACTAATACACGTTCACATCAACTTTAGCAAATTATCAATATTACTGTTTATTCACATTTGCTTTTTTTTTGTTTTTACATGAAAATTGGTCAAGTGGATATTGGCTGAAATCTTATTTTAAGGATTAAATAGATTTCTTATCCTTCTCTTAGGATAATGTATTCTACTTCGGTGGTATTTTGTCTCTCCAGAATCCTTATTCCTAGTGTATATACAGGTGGCGGCTTATCTCTTGCAAGCAAGTTGAGGAGTCTGTCATCTGAGGCATTTGTTAATCTCTTAACTGCAATATTCAGGATTGTTCAGGTAAAATATGCATCAGTTATGGAACTTTTAATTATTTAAACAAGCATTATACGAAGTTATACATATATGTCTTTTTCTATTTTGGTTTTGGTACATCTACCTTAATAGAGGTTTGGAACCTTTCACTCTCTGAAGCAGTTAGATTACTGATTAAGATGTAATATGATTTCATTTCATTTAGTGAATGCAGGCACATCTAGTCCGGGCTTCAGAAGTGAAAAAGGCAATTGAATGGATCCTCTGCAATATCGATGGACATTATGCAGCTGATTCAGTTGCAGCTGCAATTGCTGTTGGTGCTATAGCGGCCGAAACAGCCCAGGAAACAGGTTTCCAAGGGGGGTCATTAGTGCCTTCTTCATTGGGTAAGGCTACCTCAAAGGCCCCTCCATTGCAGGGAAAATCGAGTGATCCATCAAGCTTGATGAACATGTCAAGAAACTTCAGGTTTTCTAGTTATTATATATTTTTCATGCATTCTATAAAATTCTTGCAGTTTTATGTACACAAGCCTTTGTGCTACGCTTGGAATTAGATTAAGGTTTTTCATTCTTATTTTTCATAGGGCCGATGTCTTGAGAGAAAATACAGAAGCTGTCTTTGCGGCTTGTGAGGTTACTCATGGTAGGTGGGCAAAGCTACTAGGAGTTCGTGCTCTTCTTCATCCAAAACTAAAATTGCAGGAGTTCATGAGCATTTATGATCTCACCCAAGAATTTATAACAGCTACGGAGAAGGTATTTGTTCGGAACTTCTCTTCATATAAGAGATAAGAAAGTATAGCTTATTCTTGCGTGACATTTTTACGAAATTTAACAGATTGGTGGACGATTGGGATCTAGCATTCGTGGGACGCTGCAATCACAAGCCAAAGCCTTTGTGGATTCGCAGCATGAAGCTCGGGTTAGTCTCTGTATAGATACATTTATAGATTTTACAATAAGCACAGCTACACTTTCGTTTAGTTTCATGGCTTACAAAAACTGAAAATTGGTAAAAAAGTGGCAGACAAAAGTGATAGCGAGAGCAGTATGGCCAATCCATCTTATTACCTATACTTTGTCTAGAAAAAAATTGATAACGAAGTAGTGTTGGAATATATTGACTTCATTCCATAGATAGTGCGTATTCTGTAATTCTTATACTATCTGACTTCTTTCACTATCAAGAGTTCTAGTCGTTAATCTAATTTGTATTTTGCTTTACTCTAGATGGCAAAACTGAAAGCTGTGCTTGATCAAGAAACATGGGATGAGATTGATGTTCCCGAAGAATTCCAATCCATAATCAGTTGTCTTTTTGCATCCCCGGAGTTGAGTCATGGGAAAGATGATGCTGCCGATATTAAAGCAAACCACAGAAATCCGCTACCTCTCAATGGGTCTCTCACTTCAGGAACTGAGAATCAAAATACTGAATTGCGAAATGACCAATCTGAATCTAGTGAAGGTCCTGCAATTAGTGATGCACGAGTTAAATCCACAGTGTCGCCTGAGTCTCTTGAAAGAAGTAAGGCTGGTGTATCTTCAGTTGCGAATAATCAAAGCAATCAGAAGGCACACGGAAAATCTAACCTTTTCTATCAAGGAGTTGGTTACCACATGGTAAACTGGTTAGTTTTCTTGTCATGCATTTTAATGTTATACTGTATATCCGTTTTCTCTAGTAATTTGTATGGCTGTGGATTGATGAATATTTCTCTCTAGTCTCTAACTATATGTACATTTTCCTAGGTTTAGATTCCTTAATGTTTAGCTGCTGTCTCGGCTGTAATTAGTTATGCTGATGCAAGTCCTTTTCATGTCTGCAGTGGATTAATATTACTGAAGATGCTGTCAGAATACATTGATATGAACAACTCTTTGCCAGCTTTGTCCTCGGAAATTGTGCTTCGTGTTGTTGAAGTGTTGAGATTTTTCAACACTAGGACATGCCAACTTGTTCTGGGTGCTGGTGCTATGCAGGTATAAATATGCTTTGAATAGAGAACATAGTAGTCTTTATTGCTGATTAGCTGTATTAAGTTTTCTAACCAATAACCTGTGATTCATAGCTTAACCAGATGTACACCTTTCCTATTTGTCTTTTGCTATTGAACCTTTTTGACATAAAAGAATTTATTTTTTATTTACGCAAAACAGATGTAATCTGCATTGATATTGACCGTTTGAGTGCCCATTTTCATGCTATAGGTATCTGGTTTAAAGTCCATAAAGGCGAAACACTTGGCACTTGCAAGTCAAGTTATCGACCTCGCTTACACTATTATTCCTGGTAGGTGTTTTTTTTTAAAATAATTTTTAACTGTTGCAGTCATAATGTGTTTGGCGGAGTTAATAATGTATTGACATCATTACATTCTCCTCTCTAAAAGTCATTTAGTGTTATCCAAGCATTTCTTTCCTCACCTTTTTGTCCAAAATATGAGCTTGCTTATGGTGGTTATTTTGGTTGTTGGGGTGTTTGTGCATGTCCGAATTAACTAGTCTAAGATGATCGGCTTAGTCTCTCCATTTTTCAGCTTCCCAATGATTTTGTTTGAATCATCCATAGCTCATTTTCTTGTAAGGTGTTTCCTGCCTGAAAGTTTTTTCTTTTTTTTTCTGTGGTCCTAGAATCCAGAAGAATTCTGTTTTCAAAAGTACCTGAGACGAGAAAGCCACTGTTGTCGGTAGAGATTGATAAAGTTGCTCAGGTATGTTTCTTTCTTTGCCTTCTGCCTTTTTTCTCTTTACTCTTACATGCTGTAAGGTTTAAGAGGTCGTTGCGCGCCTGATACGGAAGTAGTTGAAACAAAATTCACACCAGTTGGTTATCTCTAGGATCATAGAATATAAGTGTGTTTGGATGGCGGTTTTAGTGTCCATTTCCATTAATTCCGGCTTCTCGCCAATTTTCAGGATTATAGGGTTCATCGAGATGAAATATACACCAAACTGGTTCAGATAATGAGAGAAAGACTTTTGGCGCATCTTCATGGGTTGCCTAAAGTTGTTGAGGGATGGAACAGACCGCCAGACACCAATAAACAAACTAAAGAGTTTGCGTGGCCACTCACAAGGGTACTTTATTCTCACTCACTAATCTTATAAAGATAATAATAGATGTTTTAACGTGCACTTAATCTTACAGGAAGTTGGCTACCTTCATCGTGTCTTGTCCGAGACATTGCATGAAGCAGATGTTCAAGCAATCTTCAGGTGAGCATATACGCAACTTTCATAGGAAAGACATTTAGGGCTGTGCAAAAGTGTAATTTGGACTAGAATTGGTTTATTGTAGGATAGTATCCAATCACTTGTTTATACTTAAAGAGTCAAGTTAACAAAAAACATTATTGTTATTTTACTATAAATGCCAAAGGTAGGAAGTAATCTTTCGGGTTCTAAAGTGACTTCTTTTACATTAGTCCTTAATAATACATTTTTCATGATGATTCTTGTAGGCAGGTGATTTTAATTATACACACACAAACCTCTCAAACGCTTACTAACTTGGAGATAAGCTCTCCAGAGGCAAAGAAAAGGTAACTTCATATTCTTTAAAAAAAGTAAACCAACTTAGCTTCTGTAAGTAACATTCTTCTCGTTTTAATCAGGCTGAAGCTTCACGTCGAGCTTATCCTAAAATGCATCCGGTCGTTACCATCCGACAATGCCAATCAATCAGACATCCCGAACTGGGGACAACTAGATGAATTTTTTGCACAAAACTTTAGAGAAGAAGAAGGCGAAGCTGAATGTTGAGGTCGTCATTGTACAGCAATTTGTTTCTTCTCAGTTTCCTTTATAAAGTGGAAAAACTGAAGAGTTTGGGGTATGAGGATGGTCTACTTACTACTCGTCCTGTAGATTTAACTTACAGGTAACAAACTCCTTCCCTCTGCCTTCTTTTCACGATGAACCACCACTCTGCAACCAAAGGCAATTACGGAATCACTAACGGGTTACGTCAAGTTTGCGGAGAGCGAACCATGTAGAGAGTCTTGAAAAGCATAGCCACGTTTTGGTCAGTTAATGTATTAAAACTCGAAAAGAGAATTCTGATGGTTGGAACTTCAAATGCAGGCTCATATTTCAGTTCTGTTCTTGGCTCGGATGAATTTTATATATCAATCTATGGTTGTACCAAAAGTTTGGTAGGCGAAAGCATCTCTATAAAGTAATACCTCTTCTGGTTTGGATTTTCTGCCTCAGTGTTGGCTTTCTTTTATCTCTTTTGTTTTGTGAATTGTATGAGGTACGAGTGATTTGGACACAAGTTTTTGAAAGAGGTAAAACACTAGATGTAGACGTATATATTTCTTTTGAGAGGGAGAAAATTTTTATGTGCTTATGAGTTACTACAACAAATAGAGTTTTATCCCAACACATAAAAACTTTGTCCTCTTATCAAGCATATTATAATTTATAAATTAATTGTTGTTATGGTTATTACAAAGTTCAAAGTTTAACAATGTACATAACAAAAACCCAAAATCGAACATTAGCTGTAACCGCAAGCTGAGTCTTGACGCGAGAGAGATTGAAATCGGATTGTCAAAAAAAAGCAACTGCCAATTTATCGGCTTAGGTTCTGACTTCCGAGTCCATGAGAGTTCATTTAAGACGTCCGTTGACTTTGACTTTACTGTTTGTTTTGTTTCTCTCTTCCCCAATGTGTTCCCCGGACGCACTCATCAAAATTCCTCTTATCCGCCGTTCAATTTGCAATTTTGCATCTATAATTGGTATAATCTCAGACAGTCGAATTGTCTGTGGTTCTATCAAATAATCAAAATTTCATGAAGGATAGAGATCATATTCCTCGGTGATGTGTGGTTGGATCAACTAGAAATGGATGCATTGGCGAACATTTTTGGGTCCTTTGGGAGAAGGAGTTCAAGTAGAACGAATGTTTCGGGTTCGAGAGCAAGCCCCGGTGATAGGAAGATCCTCTCCCAGGAACTCGAAAGGGTATATATTTCAAAGTTGGTGAATTTCCTAAGCTCGTCAACAATAATTTCTTGCTTCTCTCTACTTTTCATATTTTTGTACATTATTTTGTTTGCAGGTAATTCTTATGAGATTGAATCTACGTGATGCCAAGGCAACAAACAAGGTTATGGGTAAAGTTTGGAAGATACCAGGTAAAATTTTCTAATATTTCCTTCACAGTTTATCGGAAAAGGAAACGTTTCTTAACAATGTTATTGGTCTATACACCAATGCTTAATCACTGATTCTTGTTTCTTTTTTGGGGGTCTAGTCTAGTTCCAACTCTGGTTTTGTATAAGTGATTCTTTGCTTCCTGGATATCATGTTGATGAATCTTTACAGTACCCATGAAAATTCAACTATATAAGTTCTGAATGGCCATTGATTTCTTGTGTAGGTGTATCTTCTGTAGTCTTGGATGGGGACTGCCGGATCAAGGTGACTGGGACAGTGGATCCACAAAAGCTACAGAGCAAGCTCAAAAACTACCGGCCTGTGATACTGGAGGTTGTCCTGAGCAAGAAGCACGATTCAGATGTAGAAGAATGTGGCAGCGAGCAAACGAAGATAGGATTTAAAAGTTTGGGTTTGGACGATAAGCTTTCTAGGGGAGAAGATTACAGCGATGTGATCAGTATCACTTCACCGGCATGCAAATGGGAAGGATCAGACGACTTCAGTTCAGGGGACGACATTACAGTCGTTGTAGACAAATCCACAACTACGGTTCCCAACAGGAGGCACTGGAACGATGACTGGATCTCTTTCTGCGAGTTCCTCAGCAACCGTATGCATCCGTTGACTCCCTCTGGCTGCACCGCCGATGATGTGATTGATTTTCTTCGCACGCGGCAGGCTTCAGGCGGCATCGAGGCTCTTGTTAGCCGCCTCAGTACAAAGAGCGAGGCGCATGGCCTGAGACCTGAGGACAATCCTTTCCGCAGCGTAGCTGTAACAGCGTATATGAAGGCTGCGAGGGAGGTGACGACTCAAGAAACAGAATGCATACTAATCTTTACGTGCAACGACGACCTTGATGCGGATGAGGCATCTTTCATCGAAGCCATCTCGAAAGAGCTGCACAAGCGAGAGGTCACCCCTTTGAGATATAATCTATTGGGCAGAGAGAACCTGGATGCGGAGATGCTATACAGATCTAGTGTTGGTATCATGATACTTTCAAATGCTTATGCATGTTCTAGACAGTCCCTGGACCATCTGGTGGCGATCATGGAGCATTGGAAAGCAACAGACCTTGTGATTATTCCTATATATTTTAAGGTAACACTTTCAGACATTTGTGGGTTGAAAGGCAGGTTTGAAGCAGCATTTCTGCAGCTTCAGAGTTCTCTCCAGGAAAAGAGAGTTCAGAAATGGAAAGCGGCCGTGACTGAAATAGTGTCCATCGGTGGACTTGAATGGACAAAGGGGTATATTGACTCTCTTAGTGTTCCCTTTACTATGTGTACAATATGGTATCTGTTCATTCAGAGTAGTGTTTGTTATTAGAGTGGTGTTAATTTAGTGCTTACACTTTCTGTGTCCTTTTTTTGCAGAACTCAGTTTATGCTTGCGGAGGAAGTTGTAAGAAACGCATCCCTACGGCTATATTTGAGAAATAGCAAGAATATGGTCGGAATTTTATCGTTGTTGAATCACTCCCAGTCTTCAGACGTGGAAATTGTAGGAATCTGGGGCATGGCGGGAATAGGCAAGACATCTATTGCTAGAGAAATATTTGAAATACTGGAGCCACACTATGACCTGTGTTACTCCTTGCAAGACTTTCATCTAATGTATCAGATGAAAGGGCTGAGGCAATTGCGTGATGATTTCTTGTCGAAAGTATTTGGGGAAGAAAAACTGAGTATAGGCGCTTCTGATACAAAACTGAGTTTCATGAGGGACCGGTTCCATAGTAAAACGATTCTTGTTGTTCTCGACGACGTCAGTAATGCCAGAGATGCAGAAGCTGTAGTTGGAGGGTTTGGCTGGTTTTCTCATGGGCACACAATCATTTTAACGTCTAGGAAAAAGCAAGTTCTTGTACAGTGCAAGGTTAAAGAGCTATACGAGATCCAGAATCTAAGTGAATTTGAATCTTCTCGTCTCTGCAAACAGTATTTAAATGGAGAAAGTGCAATCATCTCAGAGCTTATAAGCTGCAGCAGTGGTATTCCCTTGGCCCTCAAAGTTTTAGTTTCCTCTGTATCAAAGCAGCAATTAAATAATAGTATGAAGGAACATCTCCAGTGCTTGCGGAAAAATCCTCCTACTCAGATTCAAGAAGCATTTCAGAGAAGCTTTGATGGACTAGATGAAAACGAGAAGAACATTTTTTTGGACCTTGCATGTTTTTTCAGAGGGGAGGATCAAGATCACGTGGTGCAGATACTTGATGCTTGCGGTTTTTTCACATATTTGGGAATCTGTGATCTTATAGATGAGTCTCTTATTAGCATTTGGGACAATAGGATAGAGATACCTATTCCTTTTCAAGACGTTGTTCGGTTTCTTGTTCATGAAGAAGATGAGGATCCATGCGAGCGTAGCAGATTGTGGGACTCTAGCGACATAGCTAATGTATTGACTAACAATTCAGTAAGTTTAAATGTTATTGCATGGTTCATAATTATTCTTCCTTTAGTTGTAAAAATTGATGTTTCTTTACTCATCTGATTGTCTTTGTCAGGGAACGGAAGCGATTGAAGGCATTTTCCTAGATGCGTCTGACTTGACCTGTGAGTTGGGTCCTACTGTGTTTGATAAGATGTATAAACTTAGATTGCTCAAGTTCTATTGTTCCACCTCTGGGAACCAGTGCATGCTTAGTCTACCTCAAGGCCTCTACTCTTTGCCTGATGAGTTAAGGCTACTTCACTGGGAGGATTATCCTCTGGAAAATTTGCCCCGGAAATTTAATCCTGAGAACCTTGTAGAGCTTAACATGCCTTATAGCAACATGGAGAAGTTATGGGAAGGGAAGAAATTTAGTGTTTTATTATGGTAATTGATTTGTAAACCTTGTTAATATCATGACTCATCTTGTTTTACTTATGTTTTAAACAGAATCTGGAGAAGCTAAAGAAACTGAGACTGAGCCACTCCAGAAAGTTAACTGATATCCGGATGTTATCAGAAACATATTGATCTCGAAGGATGCACATTAGTACATCTATTCCTCGTCGTGGGAAGCTTGTTTCCTTGAATATGAGAGACTGCTCTCATTTGAAAACTCTGCCTGCGATGGTGAACTTAACATCTCTCGAGCTTCTTAATTTGTCTGGCTGCTCAGAGCTTGATGAGATTCGGGATCTTGCACCAAATCTGAAAGAGTTATATCTAGCTGGGACTGCCATAACAGAACTTCCATTGTCGATAGAGAATCTCACTGAACTTGTGACGCTAGATCTGGAGAACTGCAGATGGCTTCGGCAACTACCGTTAGGAATATGATACGATTCATCAAACGTATTATCGCAAAAGGAAGAAGAATGGGACCGAAGAAGACAACGTGAGAGTGAGAAAAGAGTCAAGAGCTGAGCTGGCGGGTGAGTCAGCAGCGAAGAAAAATTGTAAATAAAAGATGTTTCGTATAAATAGAGGAGTGTTCTCTGTTTTCGTTTTCTATCCAGAAAATTACATTGTCAAGTGTGCTTTCTTCTGATCGTATGTGATCAGTAACCAAGATCGTATGTGATCGAGGTTCGCTTTGTAATTGGATACATTCTTTCATTTCAATACAAATTCATTCTTTTATTGAGAGTTTGAGAGTACAAAAATCTATCATTGATGCAGTGAAAAAGGTTCGAATCTAACGCGATAGAAGAGGAAAATTCAACAATCGGAGTTCATAGATCTACATCCATGGCGACTTCGCAGCAAAGGTTTGATACGGCGACGGGAGAGGCAATGGAAACACCAAACCCTAACTCAGCGAGTGGTTCTCAGGACGAAGAAGAGGACGATATCACAGAGAGCGAGATGAGTCTTCGTTTTCTGAAGGGCGCTTACAAGAGATTGAATGTTTCACGGAGGGAAACAGAGTCACGAATTACAGAGATTGATGGCAAGCTAGTGCAATTAGATGCCAAAATGTCCGATATCGACAGGAAAATGGACCCGATCTTGGGGATGTTGAAGCAATCCGCCGAGAACAAAGTTCAGAACACGGAAAGACCTAGCTTGGCTCCGACGCCTTTCCGTGAACAGAACCAGGTACATAACTCTAATCTGGAACAAAACCGGGGAAAACAACAGTTAGGTTATTGATCTGGGAACTTGAATTTAGCAAACAGAGAGAGTATGTTGCAAAAAGTTGAGATGTCAGAGTTCTCCGGGAAACATCCGTATATCTGGATACAGGATGTGGAATGTTTCTTCATGATTGGTCGATATGACGATGAAGAGAAGTTAGAAATGGTTGCGCTGAGTTTAGAGGGGAGAGTTAAGAAGTGGTTTGCGTGGGAGCTCAAGAGAAAAGGCTTTCACAGTTGGCTTGATTTCAAAAACAAATTAGCACTGAGATTTTCTGAATCACTGGAAGAAGATCCAGCAATACGCTTGTTCTCTATCAGGCAAACGGGATCAGTTACAGATTACATCTCAGAATTTGAGGAGCTGTCGGAGTTAGTGAACGGGCTGGATGATGATCACCTAACAAAGATATTCTATAATGGCTTGAATCAAGAGATGAAGGAAGTGATTCGTATGAAAGAACCAGTGGGGCTAGAAAACCATATCGCTGCGGTTTTACGAATGGAATCCAGTGCCTTCTGTAAGGTAGTTAGTGGATCGTCCAGAGCTGATACGAAAAGTCAGAGAACTTACACTTACACAGCCTCAAAACCAGCTACGACATACAATAATCAGAAAAGGTACTTCAGTAGTGAGCAACGATCTGGGGGTCAAGGACAGAGTAAACACGAGAGTACGACTTTGCCTAAGACTGGTGAAAACAGACCTAATCAAAAATACACGCCTGAAGAGCTGGATCGAATGAGGAGAGAAATGATTTGCTTTAAGTGTGGAGCAAAAGGTTGGACGAGAGCTCACAAATGCCCAAAGCAAGAATTACAAGTCCTAACGTTGATAAATGGACTCGAGATGGAAGTGTTGGACCAAACTGAGGATTATGAGGAGGAGGAAGTTTTCTTAGAAGCCACTCAAGAGTTACAGGTATTGTCTCTCAGTTCATTCTTGGGAATTCATTCGCCAAAGACTACAAAGCTGTATGGACGAATAAACAAGACTAACGTCATTGTTATGATTGATAGTGGTGCATCTCACAATTTCATCAAGCCAGCGATCGTACAAAGGTTTAAGTTGAAAGTGTATCATGAACCAGGCCTAGACATCCTTCTTGGTAATGGAGTCACAGTCCAAGGGACAGGGGTTTGTGAAGCAGTGACATTCCAGTTGTCGGATGCCGTGTTTAAGTCGGATTTCATATCACTGGAACTGGGAATGGTTGATGTGATATTGGGAGTGCAGAGGCTCGAGACACTGGGCAAGTGCGAAGTTGACTGGAAGCAGCAAGAAATGTCCTTCAACTATGAAGGGAAACGGGTTACAATTCTTGGAGACCCATCGTTACATAATACCAAATTTTCAATGAAGTCGTTATCTCTTAGTGCGAAAGGAAGGGAAGCACTTTCTCACCTCAACGCGATAACTACTTCTGCTCCAAAGATTCCAGAGATGATAGTGCAATTACTGGAGGAGTTTAATCATGTCTTTGCTCTTTCAACGGGTTTACCACCATTCAGGGGCAACGAACATGCAATTAATTTGGTGCATGAGGTGACAACAGTGTCTGTACGACCTTATAGGTATCCGCATGCTACCAAGATAGTAATGGAACAAATGGTGCAGGAAATGCTGGATTCGGGCATCATCAGACCTAGCACTAGTCCATTCTCTAGCCCGGTGCTTTTGGTGAAGAAGAAGGATGCATCGTGGCGATTCTGTGTTGATTACAGAGCTTTAAACCAAGCTGCAATTCCTAACAAGTTCCTAATTCCAGTAATTGATCAGTTATTAGATGAACTCAATGGCGCCAAAGTCTTCTCAAAATTGGACTTACGCTCGGGTTATCATCAGATCAGGATGGAAGAAAGGGATATTGCGAAGACTGCTTTTCGTACTGTGGAGGGACACTACGAATTCTTAGTTATGCCATTTGGCTTGACTAACGCACCAGCAACATTCCAGGCGCTAATGAACAAACTATTCAAACCTTATCTGCGGGAGTTTGTCTTAGTGTTCTTTGATGATGTTCTGGTATACAGTCGCAGTGTTGAGGATCACAAGAGACACTTAACAACTGTGCTTCGCATCTTTGAAGAACAGAAACTGTTGGCTAACAAGAAGAAATGTTTGTTTCGCCAATCACAAGTGGAATATCTTGGGCATATTATCTCAGAAGAGGGGGTGGCCACAAATTCTCTGAAGACAGATGCTATGCGAGGGTGGCCCATACCAAGGACTGTTAAACAGTTGAGAGGGTTCTTGGGACTGACAGGATATTACAGACGATTTATCAGAAATTATGGGGTAATTGCGAGACCACTTACAGAGCTGTTGAAAAAGGATAAGTTCAAATAGTCCTGTGAAGTGCAACAAGCTTTCGAAAAACTGCAGTCTGCAATGATTTCGGCTCTAGTATTGGCCTTACCGGATTTTACTAAGCCATTTATAGTAGAGTCGGATGCCTCGGGTTTTGGAGTCGGAGCAGTGTTAATGCAAGACAAAAGGCCTATTGCGTTTTTTAGCCATGGACTTACAGCAAGAGAACAATTAAAGCCTGCATATGAGAGGGAATTTATGGCCATCGTGATGGCAGTTCAAAAATGGAAACACTACCTCTTAGGAAGGCGTTTTGTGGTACATACAGATCAGCGGAGTTTGAAATTCTTGCTAGAACAGAAAGAGGTTAATATGGAATATCAGAAGTGGCTAACCAAATTGTTGGGATACGACTTTGAGATCCTGTACAAACCAGGGTGTGAAAACAAAGCTGCTGATGGCTTATCAAGGATCGAATCGAGTACTAGTAGTGATTCGAACTCGCTGCTGTTGGCACTAACGGTTCCCTCAGTTATACAGATGCAGGAGTTGTATAAAGAAATCGAGGAGGACACGACTATTCAACAGCTGCTGCAGCAAGTACTACACGGACAACTTCAGAACAAACATTACAGTGTTATAGATGGTAAACTTTGGTATAAAAAGCAACTGGTGATCCCGAAAACATCTGCTTTTATACCACTGTTACTTCATGAGTGTCATGATGGTCAAGTGGGTGGACACTCGGGAGTTCTTAAGACAGTCAAGAGGATTCAGACGCTGTTTCAATGGGAAGGCCTCACGAAAATGGTTCGGAAGTATGTAGCAGAGTGCGATATATGTCAGACACATAAATATTCGACTCTATCACCTGCAGGTCTGCTACAACCACTACCAATACCCGAAAGAGTGTGGGAAGATGTGTCTATGGACTTTGTTGAAGGACTCCCTACATCTCACGGTATTAATGTCATCTTAGTAGTGGTGGATCGTTTGAGCAAATATGGTCACTTCATTGGGTTGAAGCACCCTTTTACAGCTGTGGATGTTACCAATAAGTTCATGTCGGAGATAGTTAAACTTCATGGCTTTCCGAAATCCATTGTTTCGGACAGAGACAGAATCTTCTTGAGCAACTTTTGGAAAGATTTGTTTCGTCTATCCGGTACTAAGCTGAAATATAATACGGCCTTTCATCCACAGACGGACGGTCAGACAGAAGTCCTTAATCGCTGCGTCGAAACATACCTCCGTTGTTTTGCTTCGAGACATCCTCGGACCTGGTACAAATTTTTGGCGTGGGCAGAACTGTGGTACAATACATCATTTCACACATCTTTGAAAAGTACTCCTTTTGCTATGGTTTATGGAAGAGATCCCCCAGCCATAGTTCCCTTTGAAGTGGGTTCTACAAAGAATTTTGAATTGGAGGAATCTCTTAAAGAAAGAGACGCGATGCTGATACAAGTGAAAATGCATCTAGTCAGGGCACAACAGTTAATGAAGAGACAGACAGATAAGCATAGACGTGAGCTCGAGTTCAACGTGGGAGATTTGGTTTACTTAAAACTCAAACTGTATCGTCAAAGTTCAGTGGTGAAGCGATTCTGGGCAAAACTTGCGGCTAAGTTCTTTGGTCCTTATGAGATCACGGAGCGTATTGATCACGTTGCTTATCGTCTCCACTTACCTCCTGAGTCCAAGATACACCCGGTCTTCCACGTATCTCAGTTAAAGAAGATGTTGGGGCAGGGTCAGGTAGTGCAGAGTGCTCCACCAACGTCTACAGATCTGGAGAATGTCCTCGTTGAACCAGAGTCAGTTTTGGCATCTCGTTACAATGCTACTGGCGGCATAGAATTGTTGGTGCGTTGGAAGAATTATCCGAACCATGATGACTCGTGGGTCTTATCTCGAGACTTCGTACAACAATTTCCAGATTATAAGCTTGAGGGCAAGCTGGGTCTCACAGGGGGGAGTATTGATACGATTCATCAAACGTATTATCGCAAAAGGAAGAAGAATGGGATCGAAGAAAAAGCAAGTCAACGTGAAAGTGAGAAAAGAGTCAAGAGCTGAGCTGGCGGGTGAGTCAACAGCGAAGAAAGATTGTAAATAAAAGATGTTTTGTATAAATAGAGAGGAGTGTTCTCTGTTTTCGTTTTCTATCCAGAAAATTACATTGTCAAGAAAAGCAT